CTCTTCGACATTTACAGCAACAACTTGCATTAGCAACTAAAACAGAAATAACTCCATCAAAGACGACTCCACAACTAGTTTTTGTGTTCTGTGCTAATGGAGTAAATTTCAAAGGGATCTGCAAGACATTATTGAGTTCAGAGGCAGTATTCAGAGACAAATGTAAAGAAATAGAAATGTTATTTCAGCAGTATGTACCCATCAGCCTCCTGGAATTAACAGAAAGTGAATGTGAGGATTTCTCAAGGCCAGAAATTGCCCAGCCGTTGCTTTTTACTCTCCAGGTTGCCTTAACTTCTCTTCTGAAACACTGGGGAATTAAGCCAGTGGCTGCTGTTGGCCATTCAGTTGGAGAAGTTGCTGCTGCCCATTGTGGAGGGTTTCTGTCCCTTGAAGATGCCGTCAAAGTAATTTATCACAGGAGTAGGTTACAGGCGAAGGTTACCGGAGGCAGAATGTTGGTAGTTGGTAACATCCCTGTTCAAGAAGTATCAGAAGCCCTCAGCCCGTATTCTGGGAAGGTGTGCATTGCAGCTTTTAACAGCCCTTCTTCCTGTACCTTGTCTGGAGACGCAGACGCTGTGAGTGCCCTTCAGAAAAAACTAGCTCAACTGTTCAGCAAGAGAGACATATTTCTTCATGTTTTACATGTCCCAACTGCGTACCACAGCCACATGATGGATCCAATAGTAAAGGAGATGATGGAGCATTTACAGCATTTGGAAAAACAGAAGCCGGAAATTGAAGTGATTTCAACACTGACTGGGAAGGTTGCTTCCGCAGATGATTTCACTACAGGCAAGTTCTGGGCCCGACATGCTCGAGATCCTGTTGCTTTCACACAGGCCATAGTGACTTCAGCTAGAGAAAAGGACAATGTTGTGTTTGTTGAAATAGGCCCTGAAAGAGCATTACAGAGGTATATAATGGAAACGCTAGGCAAACAAACTAGAGTTTTGTCCTCCTTGCAAACTGATAAAGAATATCAGACGCTTCTTACTCTTGCAGGGAATCTCTTTGAACTGGGATATAATCCTGACTGGCATCACTTTTGTGAAGGGTATCAAAGTATTCCAGCAGCGTTTCCCAGGTATCAGTTTGATCGTAAGAAGCTAATGGCCTATTTGGACATCCATCAACAAGCAAATCGAAGAGCTGTAAACTCAAATCATCCTTTGATTTACAGTTTGAACAACGACAACACTGAATTCAACTGCCCAGTGTCCCAGGCATCAGCACCCTATTTATATGAGCACAAGAACAATGGCGTTGCTTTAGTTCCAGGTGCATTTTTTGTAGAGCTCGCTTTGGCGTCTGTGATGAGTAGCTCGAGGCCAAAAGTGCCTTTAAGTACTTGTCAGATTAATATCAATTTTTTGGCACCATGTGTTTTAAACCAGAAGTCCCATGTTTTAAAGATAGAATTGGCATCACAAAAATCATTGACAGATTTCAAAATACAGTCATCCTCAGCTGCAGTTTATGCATCAGGACAAATTGCAAAGAAGTCTGAAGCTGCGGTGGAAGAAAACAGCATCTCCTTTCAAGACATCTTTCAGAGGTGTAAATCAGTAGTTACAGCAGATGAGGTTTATGAAACACTGTCTCAGGTTGGATTTCAATATGGTTCCATGTTCAGACAGTTAAGGGATGTATTTTACTGTGAAGAGCTAAAAGAAGCTATAACCAGCATAAAGGTGAACAGAGAGACCAGAGAAGAGATGTCTGACTATTGTATCCATCCAGTGCTGTTAGACTGTTTTCTACAGATGACAGCTGTCATGACGACAATAACTTTCCAAACCAGAGCAGGCTTTCCTTCTGGCATAGGCAGCCTTGTAGTTTTCAGACCTTTGGAGGAGGAAATGATGATATATTTGAAAACAAGCAAATCGACTAGGAACTACTTAGAGGTCTGTGGATGCTTTACAGATAAATGTGGCTCTGTTTTGGCAGAACTGAAACATGTTGGGATCACTTTTATGAAGCCAACATCCCCAAGAGACAACGACTTGCTCTTTGAAAATAAGTGGAAAGAAATTTTCCCCCCTCAGACCATAGGAAGTTTAGGGGAAGCACCCAGAGTCATTGTGTTTGCTGACAAACTTGGAATAGCTCAGCAACTCAAAAAATACTTACACAATGAGTCGAGATATGTTATGTATGAAGATTGGGAGACGTTGCTGGAAGCGAAGAGTTCAGAAATGACTGCACAACATCAAATGAAAAGGGAGCTTGAAGACTACCAGGAAGTTTTGTTCATGTGGGGAATTCAGAAGTTAAATGACGAGTTCCCAAGCAAAGTGGTGGCACATTTAGCTAAATGTTGTGAGGCTTATCGCCAAATTATTGTGGCATTAAGAGAGAAAAAATCCAGTTGTTCAGTTAGAATAATCACGTACAGAACAACAGATAGAAATGTAGATCATCTTAACCCTGGATTTGCTTTGTGTGGCATGACGAGAACCTGCGTAATAGAAGTTTCAGGAATCACATTTCAGGTGATTGACATCAGCTCTTCGAGTACACTGGACATCTCAGCCTTAGCAGATGTTATTGTAAAATATAAAGGACAGGATTATCCAGAAATCTGGATCAATCAAGGAAGAATTTACACTTCAGAAATCAGACGCACACCATTTAAAGATGTGGATTACAGTCAACCTTCAAAGTCTCCTCAGAACTCAGAGACGTTCACTTTATACACTACAGATCCTTACCAAGTGAAAGATTTATCTGCGGAAATAGCCAATAATACTATTACTCAGCTTGAAAATCACAGTGTTGAAGTTCAAATGGATAAAATATGCATCCATTCAGAAGACTATTTTCCTGTTAGCGTTTCAAGCTGTAACTTTGGGAATACGTTGTATTGGAATTCATATACAATAGACAAACACAAGCTTTTAGCTCTGGACTTCAGTGGCACAATAACTGCAATAGGCAGTGAAGTGAAAAAAGTTAAGGTGGGAGATCAAGTTGTTTCATGTTATCCTGTTGTTGCATCATCAAGAGTCAAGGTTCCAGGGACAGTTTGTTTCAACATCAAAAAGTTTCCATGCTTTAGAAATGTTCCTTGTGTGTCATACTTTATGGTAGCATGGGAAATTGTGAATCAAACATTACCAAAGGTGAAACACAGTGGGACTTTAGGTATTATTTCTACTGAACCAGAATCAGTTTTGTGCAAAGTGCTTACTCTGACAGCACAGGAAACGGGCTGGAGAACAGTACTTGCAACACCTACATCTGATCAGTGGCAACGTGTAAATCAGTGCAATGCCCTTGTTTATCTGCCTCCAATAGATGGAATGTCTAAGGACTTTCTAGTCCATCTTTCCCACCTCCGAGACCTTGTGATAGTACATGGTAATCAACAGTCTGAATGTTTTCGATACCTACTTGGAATTGATCAAGAAAATATCCGTGTTCATGTACTGAAACTTATCAGTATCTTTCAGAAAGCATCTCTAAAACAATGCCTAAGGGCTGTCCATGGATGGATCAAATCAATGCAAATGAAACAATTTCAAAACCTATCATATTCTGTTTTTCAGCAGACTGAGAACTTGGAAAGTACAAACACTGCAGCGACCTCCTATTTCACTTGCAGATGTATCCCACTTGCTGTGCTAAAAGGGGATGGGAAGACCAACAGGATTTCAGACATACCAGTATATGAAGCACAGAAGAAAATGTTTAAGCAGAATGCAGTTTACATAGTGGCAGGGGGACTCACTGGGCTTGGATTTGAAACTGTGAAATTTATAGCCCAGAACGGAGGGGGCTGTATTGCGATACTTTCAAGGAGCAATCCAAGCAGTGAGAAGCAAGAAGAAATCAAGGCTTTGCAAAATCAGTATGAAGGGAGCAGAATAGTCAGTCTTCAGTGTAATGTTATTTCTCACTTACAGGTTGAGGAAGCTATCAGTTCAATTGACATAATCTTTCCAAAGAGTCCAATCAAAGGTGTATTCCACAGTGCTGTGGTTTTGCATGATGGACGTCTTGAAGCTCTGAACCTGTCTCACTTTGAGAAAGTGTTAAGTCCCAAAGTTGCAGGGGCAATAAATCTCCACCGGGCTACCATAGGGCAGGAACTTGACTATTTTGTGTGTTACTCCTCTGTTACTTCATTTATTGGAAATTCGTCACAAGCAAACTATGCTGCTGCTAATTCTTTCCTGGATGTTTTCTGCCACTACAGGAGGAATTGTGGACTTTCAGGACAATCCATTAATTGGGGTGCCTTGAATCTTGGATTATTGCTAAATCAAAATCACATTCAAAATATTTTGGAATTCAAAGGCATAGATATTCTGCAGATACATGAAATTTATGAATATCTTAAAAAAAGCTTAATTCTGAATAATCCTCAGCAAGCTGTAGTAAAATTAAATTTTGGAACTCTAAGCAATCATGTTCTTTCTCGAATAGCATCACTCAAAAGTCGCTTCTATACACTAATTTCAGAAGAACTGGGCAGTAAGCTTGACCTATCTGAACAAAGTACATCTCAGAATATATCTCCCATCAATTCTGAAGATTATATCACCTCTCTGGTGAGTTATCTCAGTAATACAAACTTGAGTGATCTTACAATGAACAAATCACTTGCATCACTGGGCATGGACTCTATGTTAGCCATGACACTACAGAATCGTATCTTTCATGAGAGAAGGGTGGAAATCCCCCTTGTGAAACTACTTGATCCTTACACAACTATGTCGAGTTTAGTACTACTTTTAGAGGAAAGTTCTAAAGAAAGTGGGATACTTGAGAAAACAACTCATGTAGCAGAAAATATCTATTATGGAAACTGATGATAGAAACCCATTCATGTAGCAATTTGGTAATTCTGAAGCTACTTGGACCCTAGTGATATTTTGAAAAGAATCATCATAGATTTGAGGTCGAGTAAAGCTTTCAGTAATAATAAGTTAGCTCTTTTGGCCATTAAATCATCTTA